AAAAAAAAAAAAAAAAAAAAAAAAAGAAAAAAAAAGAAAAAAAAAGAAAGAAAAATATGAACGAAAAGAGAGACTAGTCGTTACTAGAGACGGAGAAAAATAACGAAGAAACGAAAGAAAGAAAAGATGTAAGACGATGCGGGTCATGTTTTTTAACGATACAAATATTCGCAAATACACAAATTCACAGCACACTTCTACCAATCCAGTAAATACCTCGGCCATTGCTCGCGAAACGAACTCTTGGGATTCGTATGTTGTTTCTAGTTTTGCGATTTTACGATTATGTACACTTGACTTCGCGCCAGAATACGACACACGAGGAGGAAGGCTTCGTAAAACGATCGTGACATTCTGTGGATCCAGTTTTGTAGAAGAAATATGGCGTTCGCAAACACGATACACAACAGCACGGAAATGGCCGAAAAATGCACGTTTTCGTAAGTCACACACTATGGCCGCGACGTTGTGGATCTAATGATCTGTGCTACGAATATCGACCGATGATAATATTTGGTCTTCTCCGTTTTTGTCTTCGTTGAAAGTGGAATATTAAACGAATCACTGTAAATTACCAATCTAGATATATGTATGATACTTAAATACGCGCCAGGAATAAAATGAATCAGGCGTGCCAACTTGAAAGTCATTATCAAGTAACGTAGGTTTAGTTACCAAACCATTAGCAAGTAACATAGATCCTGTAATTAATCACTCCATACAAAGAAATATTGAACACATATTATGAATGATGTAATTAACAATCCTAAATATTTTCCGAACGGACTGATGAATCGTTATTCCCCATGTTACCGACAAACAGTTCGGTTATATATCGGATAAATAAGCGGGAGAGCTACCGCTTCTATGTCGCTATAGTTTCATGCTATATACCCTTCGTTTCTAACGTGGAACGATTAAGTAACGAGGCGAGCTTGTACAAGTCTCTCGTTCTCCCCGTGCACGAGAATAAATTCACCCTGCACGCCCCGGCGTGAGGATCGATACGCACGATTATTTCGGGAACTCGCCCCGTTCTCGTCGAGTATGAGTTACCGTGTGCGACAAAGAGAGT